TATTGGCTGGGAAAGAACTTTCACCAATTGATTACTAAGATTTGCACGACCTCACTTGATCACACAAATGCATTACTTACTGTACATGCAAGAAAGGGAATTAGAATAGTTCATCCCCCAAAGTGAAAGAAAAGATAAATTCTTCCTTTACGGCTCTACTTGATAAAATTCTATTCTTAAAGTTACTACCATCTACCACCCTCTTTCTCCGAAGAGCTGTTCCACAAGCAGGAATTCAGCACCCAAGACCAGCATGAATGTTCTTAACTAGTCCATACACGGGTCGATTGAGCTCAGGCTGCATGCCGTATCAACTTTTCTCGCAATGGGACTGTAGATCTTGAGGCTGCCATAAACCAAAAGCTCAGATGCTGCCATTAACTGAAACGTATCATTTCATCTTTACAAGTAAACTAACTACCACATCAAGGCCTGATCAGCATATTTACTGAAAAAGGATATTTTGTTAGATCAATATTACAGTTTGAAGATTCTATTGAACAAAAGGATATCTAGAAACGCAGTATTCCCTAACACGTGAGGAGCCATCTCTGGCCAGAATTCCTTCAAGATCTCCTATAATTCTGGCCAACCATATCTCCAAGTTTCTTTGTATTTCTTGCAAGTTGTTTCTAATGGAATCCATGGATCGTTTTGTGGCAAGTTTGGCTGGGCTTCCAAGATCATCCCTGTAGTAACTCTTCCCAACCTCAGTTTGTAAAGCCATTAGTTTTTGTCCAGTTTCAGATGCACGCTGCTGAAGTCGAAATGCTTCAAGCAAAAACTCAGTCTGTCTCTGTGTTCGAAACTCTGGACTGACTGTGGGTTCAGAGGGATCACTAGCCTGCTATAAGATTAGGAAAAAGATTAAGCCATAGAACAGCATGGATCTGTTTCTGCAATCAACTCAGTGAAGAAACAAAATATTCTAAGGGTAACAATGACCACGTACATGAGAGAGCAAAAGCAGAAGTCTATGCCCCAACTGACAAGATCAAAATCAATAGATCAACACATTACGACACAACCTTCAACAGTGTCATTCCCATCAATAGAGCAAGTTTAGGCTCAATCAAATACAACAGTGTCCTTCCACATATAGATCACGTACATGTATAATAAGATAAGCATATAACAGGATGGTGGGTCCTGACTCCTGAGTACACACAGCACATGAAGCTCCCATATTACTTAGAAAGATATAAATTTGCGGCTTATTCATAATATCTTGTGAATTCAAGATTCCCCACTTGACACAAGTGACATAGCTTAGAAATTTTGTTTGGCCAAAGAATAAGTGAAAGAAGCTCTCTCTCGCTCTCTACTTTGAGTAATGAGTCATGCACATTGAACCTGAATAATGGACAGATTGTTTTCACAAAGAATAATAATCTTTGTAAGATTTTCTGATAGGATATTTTCCATTTGAGTATATTACCTCCACATCCATGAGGTTTGCCCTTAACTACAGTTCAGGACAAAGTCTTCAATTTTTGAAAGTTATAGAATGCCCTACCATTTTCCAGAAACTAGTTACCCAAGTCCGAATAGGTAATAAAATCACTGAGATCATCACAGGATCCTGCATTCCTCTAAGGGTGTCTGCCCCAAATTTCAAGGCACAAAAATTAAATAGAAGATAACAAAAGCGTGAAAAACTGATTAGTGGCATACATTTGAGAGTCAATTAAAAAGCTGATGCAGTATCAGTATAGTTCTTAATATGCCCAAAATTTAAAAGTAAATATGATCTGCTGGAAAAAGTATCAAAATAGGATGTGCTGGAAAGTGCACTGCAGAAAAAGACATCTAAGACAGATATGCCTCACCATTCTTCGGCAGAGATCATCGATCTTTGCAGTAAAAGCTTGATATCTCTTAGCCTGCTTCCTCATTAATGAAGGTACCCTTGATAAATCACTTTTGCCAATCTTTTCCAAATTCAATAGTTCCTGTTCAAGCAGCTTCAGTTTAGAGGAAACTCCGGTCGATTCACCATCTACCTTCCAAGGTGATTCCCTTCTGAACAGAAACCAAAGGTCGCTCCTTCATCAGTCACAGTATTTCATAGAGACATTTCATGAAAAACCAGTATCTAGATTGTCATACTGTACCTTGCAACAAAATGCTTCATATGATACAAAGATTCAAGAGATTCATACTGTACATCCTGCAAGGATAAACATTTAGCAATGAAGTTTAAGAGTTATAGAACCAAATTACATAGCAAATTATCCAGGAAGAAAGCAACTATGGCAAAGAAGAAGATGGCTCGTGAATCGTCGAAACTTAAAAAAAGTTTTGAAAACCTAAATATAAAATTGACAAATCCTCACCATTTGTCATGCATAACATTTTCTGTTAAAATTTTAAACAGATAGAAGAATAGTTAGGAATTGTGATAAAAGATAAAACATTAAGCAATTTTTTGCAATGACATTCACATCTCTCATTTAATCATTCTCTTCCACAAGACAAGTGCCAGCAACACCAGAATGAAGACGAGTGCTCATGGCAAGTTTTAAAAGATGCCATGATCAAATCCATGAAAATAAAGGGAAAAACAGCCAATGAAATAAAGAAGAGATGGATATCTAATATCTTTAGATGGTAATATAGAATGCTAGAGATTGCCCAGCCACTCAGATACTAGTTTAGTACATAGTTGGTTTTAAATTATCCTATGATTCACATTGCTGCATGATAAGAATCATATTTGATTGATCTTCGTTGTTTGCTAATTGCTGAGAAAAGAGGTAGAATTACACTTTGGAAAGGATGTGACAGCTTCAAAACTGTAGTATATGTTTTTTGAAGCTGCTTATTGCTTTAGTTGCAATCAATTGAGCCATTGACGTCTATAGGAACTTATTTTGGTTATGACGCATGCTGACAACCCACCACATCAACAATGTTTGAAATATAGCAAATGTCATAAATTGTTTTGGTTATGATACAGGTGTCATGCCTTAGATAAGGGTGGTCCAGCCACAGGCTCAAATGAAGCGCCTAACCAGAAACTTAAAGCTGCTTTTTGAATGGGCACCAAACCAACATATCATGAAAGGAAAAAAGAATAAGATAAAGAGGGACCATCTTATGCACCCTATTGCATGGAATATCAACAACATATGAGACCAACATACAACTCAATGCAAACTAAATTTTCTGAATGGCTTCTGATCAAATCAAGTTTCACTAATTAAGATGCATAAGCAAGTACAATTTTCTTGATTGACTGGTGAAGAAAATTAAGTCAATTTTCTATTTTCATCTTAAGCAGAAACATTCCAGAGGTATAAGGAAGACTCAACAGTAAAATATCAAATATAAGACATAGCCAATAACAAAAAAGGAAAAAAAAATAAAGTAGCCTGAGGCAGAACAGAAGTTGACTTATCCAAACAGAGGCAATAGATCGCCTGGTGGTAACAGGTTGGCGTTTGGAAAAAGATTTTAGATTCATGCTACAGTGCTCTCCTCTTTTATCGAAAAGGAGAAAAGCAATGCCTTCTCTTTTCAGATATTCAAGAAGAACATAATACATAGCGTGAAAATTTGATGTCTGAGATACAGAGATAGACGAAGAATGTACCAAAAAACCAAAGTTGGTAGGAACAGGAATAGCTTTTCTCAAGCTGAGTAAAAAATTTCACTTAAATTTGTCTCATTTTTCCCACACAATCAGAAAAAAACGAAAAAAAAAAGCTATTAAATGTTTCAACGGTCCCCGGAGTAGCGGATCATCACCGCAAAAGAAAAAGGCAACCAAGACAAAAGCAGAGAAAAAGAAGAAAAGTAAACAAACCTGCCAGAGAGTAGTTCTCTCGGCCCAAAACTTAGAAGAAGCAGAAGCCACGAAATCGGAAGTGAAGGGGAAATTCCCATCGTGCCCAACATTAACAACGCCAGTAAAATTTACATGGTCCTCCCTGGTATTCTCCGCGCCCGATTCCTCCTCCATTTCCTCTTCTTCAGCAGCAGCCCGAGTAGTAGAGATGAAGCCAATCATGTCCTTGAGCTCCTCAATCCTCCGCTTGGATTCATGGGTCTCCCTCTCCAACTCCTCGATCTTTGCCCTCTGATCCTCGATCTGCTGCAGAAGCTGCTTCTCCTCCGCCTGCCACGCGTTCCTGTGGCTGGCAAAGATCTCTACCACTCTGGCGTTTGCTTTGGAGTCCTCTTTTCTTCTCGACTTCATTTGCCTCAACAGCTCCTCAGCCGTTAAAAGCCTTGCTGTAAGTTCTCTCATTTGGGTTTGCAACTTGGGCAGCAAAGAGAGTGCGTAATTGGGAATGAAAGCCAAGACAACACTGAAACTAACTCCAAGATAGGAAGAAAGCAGCTTCCGGATTTCTTGCCTTTGTGTTTGTTGCTCATTTTCTTCGCCTTCACTTGGTGGTGCCATCACTCATCTGTCGTGTGAGAGGCACTAGAGAGAGAGAGCAAAAGAGAGAGAGAGCAAAAGCCAATAGACAGAAAGGTTTGAGATAGCAGCGTCAGAGCGTGTAAAAGAACAGAAATGGGTTTGGGTTACGCGAGGATTTACGGGAACAAGGTACTAGTCACTATGACTGTAGGACAGAACTGGACCCGAGGCTGGACCCCTTTTCCATCCAGTGCTTGGGTAGTAGCTTTCGTTTCCTTTTACGGTTTTAATGTGGCATTACTAAAACTTTATGGATCGGGTCAGGCCTGGCAGTTGGGAGTTGGCACATTTACATATTAAAAGGCTTTTACCTTTGTTACGTCTACTATAAGAACTCCTTCCGAATTTTCATTAGCATCTTTACAATTTCTGCACAGATTTGTAGTCATGTTGTCATTCTATTTTAAAATAAGATGATATTTAGTACATTATAATACAATGTAATTATAAGTTATGTGATTGTAAGTAATGTGATTGCAAGCAATGTGATTATAGAGAAAATAATATTACAGTGTTTGGTATACAAGTAAAA